TGAGGATAATGTAACACAGAGAGCTGTTTGAATAAGATGCATGCAGGGTTTTGTTTTTTTCTAACCACCACCACCCACTAAATGTACATTGGTTTGATCATAATATCCTCCTTCCCAAAACAAGTCTTACCAAAACAAAGCTTTTCTATAAAGGCTGGTGTCTCAATGAAAAGATTAGCAAAAGAAATTCACATTAGCAATCTACTTTGTAACAAGTTCAGATTTCTACCTATTTTGTATATAATTTATGAATATATAGTATACATATAAAGGCTAAATTATTTGTAAGAGATGTATAAACACTGTTGTGTGACACAGACAAGAAGTGGAAACTCCAGTCCTATTAAGTAGTATAACACATCTGTTTCCATAGCAAGAAGTATAAATAGACCATAAACAATATTTCAGTATGCAAGTGACTAATGTGTGTATGCATGCATTTATTTAACATAAAAATAGATGCTAAAGGCCTGCCTGAAGTATTTACACGCTGGCAGAAACAGGGCAGAGATGTAACTATGGATGAAGGGCAAATAAGGGTACTGCCTCCAAAATAAGAATTCTCCCCTTGCATGATTTTTTTCACTCCCAAATTTCTAGCATTGTTGTAACTTAAAACTTCAATTCATTATTTAGAAATAATCAATCCAAAGCAGAGAGCCTGGAAGAGTTAGCAATGGAATGCGAATACAGAAAATAATAGAGTTCTAGGTGCAATCTATAGGTATCTTCAGTGTCTACTCTTTGCAAAGCTAAATTCCTGAGCACATCAAAAGAAAAACTGGCATAGCTTTTCTCAATGACACATTGTTTAAAATGAGATGTAGGAGATTATCACACATTGTAAAAACGCGACTTACCTCTCCCAAATTGAAGTCCAATTAAGGCTGCATCTGGGTCCTATCACATGGCTTTTGTTATCAAAAATGCCATCTGAGTATAGCCAGGCTGTAGCCCGCGTCCCTTAACACGCTTCGGCAGCCATTTTTCAAAGTCAGGAGCTTTCCGACTTTGAAAAATGATCATTGAATCACGTTAAGGGACCCAGGCTGCAGCCTGGCTGTACTCAGATGGCGGATTTGGTGACAAAAGCCATGTGATAGGACCCAGATGCAGCCCAAATTAGAATTCAATTTGGGAGAGGTAAATCGCGTTTTTATGATGTGTGATAATCTCCGTAGATCCAAAACACATGGCAGAAATAATCCAGTTTGAGACTGCTTTAGCTGCCCTGGCTCAGTGCTAGGGAATCCTGGGGACTGTAGTTTATTGTCACACTCGAGCTGTCTGACAGAGAAGGCTAAAAATTCTCACAAAACTGCAGTTCCCAAAATTCCCTAGCATTGAGCCAAGGCAGTTAAAGTGGTCTCAGACTAGATTATTTCTGCAATCTATTTTGGACCATATTTATACATTTTTGAGACCATTTCATCCACTTCCTGATAAAGATCAAGATGAATTGGTGCCCTTGGGCTCTCTAGCTGATCTGCCTCCTTTTTTCCTCCTGGGACTTAGTAAACATATGTAATACTGCTGTTGATAAAAGAGTGGCATGACATTGGTGCAGAGGTTTCCTGTAGTAGCATTGAGCTAAAAGCTTTTCATCCTGATCCTCATTATTTCAAGGAAGTGTACATACTGAAGTTATATAGGAAGGCATTATCACCAGTAAAAGAGTTTCACCATATATAATCGTTTCCACTTCCCTTGGACTTGGAAATTTGCAAAATCCTGAGTATTTTCCTAAAATACTATTGTTTTCCTGCTTCAGATGTTACTTGGTATCCTGGATTAAGATAACTTGTATAAATATGCAGAAATCAACTAAGATTTAAATATTTTATGTGTTCGGGATGTTCCTTCCTATGTTTAATCACTCCAATGATTTCATACTTGCATTTCTAAATTGTCTGATGAATAGGCAGCTACCAAATTCCATGTTATGGCATGATTTTAAAAAGAAGAGAGAGTGGGAGAGACCTGAATGTAAATAAATACAAATTGCATAATCAATCTACATTCCAGGCATAATTAATTTCACCTTCATAAACAGCCATTCCTTTCCCCACAAAATACACAAAAATTGCTGACCTAGAGAACTTGACATAAATTGGGACTCAGCCTACTAAAATTGTTGATCAGTATTTGTTAATTGATTCAATGAGTTTATTAACTTTAAATTATTTTTATGCATCTACATTAGTTTGTAATATCACAGTCATGAAAAAAAATGATTTGAAATGTGCAGACATAGTCACAGAAAATGCCCACCTGTCACTATGCTTGTATATATGTATATTTGTCTAGTCAGTAGAACACAGAACTAGAAACATATAGAAACAATGACTTTAATTACTGGACATCAAAGCCTAGACTTTTTGAAGCTAAGGACAAAAGTTTACAAGAAAGATTTGACTCAAAACAAACTACACGTAGTGTACTTTTTCTTAACTCTGTTTTACATGTTTTTTGAATTGGGTTTTTTTTGGGGGGGGGTTCTTTGGCCTTTAAATAAGATTGCTCATTTATTTTTGAAAAAAAACTTTTTAAGATTCAATTTTTGGCTATACTTAGTTTTAATGATATTGCAAGCCTCCTTGGGTCCCAAGCTGGGAGAAAGAAAGGATAAAAAAAATTAAATAAATAAGTAAATCAAGAATGAGTAGATGGGTTTTGTTTATCAATAATGACATTAATCTGTTCAAGTACTAATTATTCAGGTATGATTGGATGGTGGTTGTATTTGTTAGCAAAATGAAGAGAATTTTGTTTTTAAAGGTATTGGTTAACAATGAGATATATAAAAATAAATTTAAAAATTAATATCTCTTTTATGGGCCACTAAATATTGCCCCTTCCCCTTCTTACTTTGGCGAGAAGCCCTTGAACACATGTTCAACCTGAAAAGTGGCTCCCATCCTTGTGGAAGCTGCCTACCCCTGACTTCTGCAATGCTTAAATCCAGCACAGCTGTGCTAGTGGGAGGGGGGTGCTCCTCTAATTTCAGGTGGAATATACAGCTTTGTTTTAAAAGTATACATCTCACTGTTTCACCAAAACAAAAACTCAAATAAGCTCAGAACAGTAAAACAGTCATTCAATAAATTGATTGCCATTATATACACCCATGCAATTTCATTATCATTTAAAAAAAATAAAATAAAGCCCAATATTGTAAAAAGTAGTGTGCCAGAAAACCAAAATGAAGGCAAAGACAAGAAAACAGAGATTTTACATTAGGGATATGAAAATTCTGGCATCCTGGTGTTTATAAATTGCAACTTCTATTATTTCTTATCATTGTCAATGCTATCTAGGACATGTGTGAGTTTCAGTCCAACAACATCTAAAGGCCAGAGACTGACCCAGCCAGGATCTAATACCATATATCAGGGGTAGGCAACCTTTCCCCTTTAAGGGTCGAGGGATTTCAGCTCCCAGAAGCCTCAGCCATGTTGGCCAATAGTCCCATGTTGGCCAATAGCTCCTGGGATTCTGGGAGCTGAAGTCCCTCGGCCCTTAAAGGGGAAAGGTTGCCTACCCCTGCCATATATAAATAATAATAATGGATACCACTTCCCCAAAATAATCTACAGTCATCCCTCTGGATTTGCGGTGGATCTGTTCCAGATACACACACACCTAGCGAATATGAAATTTTGCAAATATTCAAGTCCCATTGTCCACTGGGGATAATGGGACTTGAATATTGCCCTCCCCTCCCCCCCTCCCTGCCTCCTTCCTTCCTTATCTCCTTCTTTTCACTGGGAAGACTGGCATGGTGGAGAAATGGCTGTGCTGGCTAGCTCAATGGCATCCCCTAAGGATTTGTCCACACAGGCCAAATAAAATGTCATCCCTCTTTCCTCCCACCAACAATACAGATGACACAGGCCCCAATCCCTAGTTCTGATGCAAACAGTCCAGACAACTCACCCTTAAAATAGTACAAGAAAAAAATCTGGAACCTTAGTTGCAATGCCAGGCAGCTGTTTACAATGTGCCTCACTGTGCCAGCCACCACTTCCACCCCCAGCACAAGTCCCTAGCTCTGAGGACAGAGTGAGATGCCCAGCCATGTGATTGATGATGTATATCTTGTTCTAACCACAGAGTGAGTGACTAGCATCTGCAGAGCCTGGATCAGTTGGCACAGTGGCACGTGCATACAGACAGCTGTCCAACATCACAATGGAGGGCCCAAGGCTGCTCCTGGAGTATTCTGGCCTGCCTGGGTCTCAGATAATTATGAAATGTATGTATATATTTATTATCTTATAAAGAAAAAGTGACCATTATGGGGGAGAGGTCTTACTAGCCACTCCCTGTATAGTCAAGGGAAAAAAATTATAAATAATAAAGTACTGATAAATGCTTCTGTTCTGCAGAATTGTATTTTGAAGGAGAATGTAATTCAATTAAACATACTACCAAAATGAGATCATATGATCCATCCACTTATTAGTATTCCTGCTCGGTGTGGGGTTAAGTCCCCATCCAATTCTTTGCAGAAGACAAACAGTTGCCCATGTTTTCTACCGCCTTCCTAAAATGAGTTCTATAAGTAAAATTCAGCTGAGTATTTTCAGTACATTGATAACCTGGCAGCACAAATGACTTTTACCAGTGGTTTCATGTCAGTGTCAACTAGCATCAGGGATAATGTGAAACCTTGTGAAATCCTCAGGTAACCAAACAATGAGAAAAGATGAACACAAACATTTCAATACTTTGCTGAATAATTGATGGTACTGAAGATCACTGATAGGTCCAGGACAGCCAATAGGATGTCACTGCTCCAGGCTATGTCCTGGCTGAAGTCATCAACTAGGGTAATCATAATAGTTTCAATCCTGAATTGTTGTTGTTGTGTGCCTTCAGGACATTTCCAACTTATGGTGGCCATAAGGCAAATCTATCACAGGATTTTCTTGACAAGATATGTTTAGAGAGGGTTTGCCATTCCCTTCCTCTGAGGATGAGAGAGTGTGGCTTACCCATGGTTGAGCAGGGATTCAAACCCTGGTCTCTAAAGTTCTAGTCCAATGTTTAAACCACTATACTACACTGGCTCTCTGAGTCTTGAATATAGGTACCCAGTCTGAATGTGGTCTAGATCATGGATGAATAAAATTAATACTGGGAGCCAGATGTCAAGAGCAGGGTCCTTCATCTCAAATAGCCATGTTTACAGGAAAGCAAGTGGTGAATTAATTCTGCTGATAGCTTGAACAAATGGCTTCTCCAGTTGAGGACTAGAGAGGGGGAAACAAAGCAGATTTAAGTACATGAAGAGGAGAAAGAAGAGACTTCACCCTAGGGCTAGATGGTGAAACAGGCATGATTGCGCCATCGATTTACTAAGGGATAGAACATTCTATGACTTATTCTTTTTATTCTTTGTCTTATGCTTTGTCTTTTTGTAAGCTAAAGTTCCTTAGAGTTTGCTACTCTGGTCACCTAATCTCCCAAGGTTTTAAACAACTGCATTGTCTATCAGGCAAAGCAACATGAACATTTCCCTTATTAATCTTTCAAGCTTTGGAGTTTAAGGAATGTTTTATATTTATTAAATTTAAAAATTAACTTGGGAGATTCATCATATAGCACTGACAGTTGTAGTCTAGGCCCAATGTCCTAAAATACTCACTCCATGTTCTAAGCACATTGCTATAAAAAGTTAATTTTCTAGGCCTACCGTGTTTTCCCGAAAATAAGACACTGTCTTATATTTATTTTTCCTCAAGAAGACACAGTATGGCTTATTTTCAGTTGATGTCTTATATGTCCTGACTCCGCCCTGACACTGCGTGCCCATCTGTAGGATGCATGGCATCAGGGCACCCTCTTGGCACAGCATGTATACATGCTGTACCAAAAGGGCACAAAAGAGCTACCGCCATGGCTCAAAGGGTGGCTTTTTGCTGTCCCCCAAAGAAGCAGTGCTTTGAGACACTCTTTCAGGGGCAGCAAAAAGCAGGATTGTCACTGTGACCCTTTGAGCCATGGCACCGGGGGCTCTTTTCTGGACTGCCCCTGGGAGCGGCAGATCTGTCACTCCCAGGGGCAGTCCCGAAAAGAGCTGTGGCTGCAGCTCAAAGGTGGGCTTTTTGCTGCCCCCAAAAGGAGCAGCCCTTTGACCCGCTCTTTCAGGGGTGGCAAAAAGCAGGATTGTGGCTGTGACCTTTGAGCCACGGTGGTGGCGTCTCTTTTCTGGACCACCCCTGGGAGTGACGGATCCGCCATTCCCAGGGCCAGCCCAGAATAGAGCCATGCCTGCAGCTCAAAGGCCGACTTTTTGCTGCCCCCAAAAGGAGCAGCCCTTTGACTCGCTCTTTCAGGGGCAGAAAAAAGCAGGATCAGAGCCATGGCATGTGGTTTCCATGGCCCCAATCCACCGATCCTAGGGGCGGCCCAGAAAAGCCACCCTGTCTGCATCAGCACTATGTCTTATTTTGGCAGTATGGCTTATATTGTGCAAATGCTTACAAATCCTGTTATGGATTGTTTAATGGGTATGTCTTATTTTGGGAGAAACACGGTATTTACTCTTAAAATTTCTCATACTTATAAGGCACATGCTACTTATAGTACATTGCAGTGCTATGAATATCAACTTGCACAATATTTATAATACATGAGCATCATAGCATCTCATATTTCATCTCATGGGGATTTATCAGGCAAACATTTACACACATCATAGCATTTGGTAGGATTTCAACATTTCTAATACATTGCAGCATATGTAGTGCATCTAGCTTCTTACATAATATATTTCAGATACTTTTCAAGCTTAAATCAAAAGTATAGAACATTTACATACACTAATTCAGGATATCTACAATCACCTCTGTTAACTAACATTTCAGAATATGGGGCACTGCAATATGGAATAGTTTATCTGGGCACAGTCCAAAGGAGTATCCCCCTTCTAGCTTTAAATGATTTTTTTTTAATTACAGATTGATATTTGCTTTTTTTTTTTTTAATTACAGATTGATATTTGCTTTTTGATTTGCATACAAGAAATTTAGCATATCTCAAAAGTACAAGATATCAGAGGGAAGCACTGCCTCTTTGCTATGAGTCAATCCACAATATGGAGCTGATTCCCACTTGGTTGAGTTGGCTACATTCCTATATACTTGATTACATCATGGTCTCTACTTGTGTTTCTACATACTTGTCCCTCTCCCTTTGCAGACTGCAAGTGAGGAGGGACAAAATGGGTGCACGCAGGAGTGAGACACCATTATTGCTAATGGGGCTTGAATATCTGCGATATTTCTGATTTGCGGGGGTGGGAGGGATGTGTTTACTTCTATTTAGCTCTAAATCTCTACATTTTTTATGAAAATATTACTCTGGAAAGAAATAATGCTTTTAACCCTTTAAATTAACCCCACAAGGCACTGTATACAAATACTTGAACTCTGTTTTAACACATTTTTTCAACTTTTAAGTAGCTACCTGGAATTGGTAAAATATAATGCTTAGCCTATTACCATGACCAGATTAATCCCTCACATGATGACTTGTGGGAGAGGACTTGCTGTTGCGCCCCTGCTAACCCTAGCCCCACAATCTGCATTGTGAACAAAAGTGAAAACCTTCTGTCCCCTTCATTTGTAATCTAAATTTTGCTTACCTCTGAAAATATGTATTGCTTTCTGGATCTATTATCTTTAATAGAAAATAGATCCAGAAATTTATTAAAGAAGTATAGAGCAAATACTTCTACTCATCATTAATAATCCAGCAAGTATTTGTTTGATTTTTGTCTTGCCTTTTTCCCAGCTCTGAGACCCAAGGCAGCTTACAAAAGTTTGAATGTATAAAATGTATAAAAGAGCATTTACAAAGGAACTTTTATAGGTTTCCCATTAAGCATTTTAATTAACTTACACCAGCCCATCTATTGCTGTTAGATCTCTAGGGAAGCTTACTTATTCAAGACTGATCAACATGAATTATAGAATTCTGAGTAAGATTGTTTTCTATTGATGTAAATGCGACTGTACCTAAAGGTCACCCCCTCCCCAGGTTAGAAGGTTACATCAGATAAAAAGGGCAGTGCTACACATGGTAAAAAAAGTTAAAAAAGAGATCTATAAAGAGATGATAGATCAAAGAACAACTCACACAGATCAAAGACTACCTCATACAGAGGAAATCTCTTGGAACCACTTTCTATAACCTTCCACTGTAGCTTCTTTTGCTCCACTGACATGTGGAAGCATAAGGCTGCAGAATCAGCAACAGGACATTTTAATGATATTTTTAAGAGCACTCCTCTAGGTGCAAAGCTACTTGAAGGTAAGGGTCTTTTTAAGGCATCTATAAGGCCCTAAAAACATAAAGGCACCAGATCCCAACTGATCTAAGCAGGGTCAGCCTTGTTTAGCACTTGGATGAGAGACCACCAATGAATACCTGGTGTTGTGAAAGAAGTGGCAAAACCACTTCTGTGTAGTCCTTGCTTAAGAAAACTGTAGGAAATTTATAGGGTTACCATGAGCCAACAGGCAACTTGCACATATACATGGATGTATCCTTCTACAGAGTAACTAGCAAAGTGCACTGTGAGCTATCCAAGGTCCTGATTCCTGCTCACTGGAATTTTTAATGGTATTGTCAGCTGCCTTGAACTGTCCACTTACACTATGAGTTACCTCAGCTTCACTGAACATGACCTGGCCTTTTTGAGTAGCTCTGACTTGCCATAATTTGATTGAGCTGCTTTATGGTAACCTAATATACATCTATCTCATGTACAGCACCTGGCTCACTTCAACATTAATCTGCTCAACTCAGTTTACCTCTCACTCTGTGATTATCAGGTCCTTACCTATTATGATACATTGTCCTAAACATAAGGGCTATGCCAATAGATTTTACCTAAGTGTTAGTGTAATATTCAATAACCAATTCAATTTATCTAGTTGAAACAAAACAAACTATTTTATAATTGAATCTAAAAAACAAGGGAAAGAGAGAAAGAAGGAAGTAAAGAACAGGCAAAAATCTCAAGATGCAAAATGGTAGAAGATAAATCTGAATTGAAATCCAAACTAAAAGTAAATCTATATCTATATCTATATCTATATCTATATCTATATCTGAAGAACAGATCTATCTGCAGCAGTCAAAAGATGAAAGCCTTCTGGTAACACTAGAAAACAAGTGGCTTAAATAGATAGTAAGATTCATATCAAGCATAAAATACTGACAACATATTTGATAATATTTTCTCTCTCAAACCCCTACCCACCCACACACATACATATCATGAAATACTACAAAGATCCAGTAGTTTAAGCTCCTTATGCTTTGTGAATTAGATCAGAACATTTGAGGTTCCCAAGGACACATTTTATTGAAGACTCCATCTAGGAACTAGATCTAGGAACTATGCATTTTACAATATTGTTACTTGCACAACTGCAAAGATGGTCACCAAATTCCACCCACATGACATTTATAGTTTTGTTTTTATAAAGAGAAAATAATCTAGGCCTATCCTGCCCATGCACTAATAATGAGACAAAAAACATTGTTTAGCAAATTGTGATGCAGTAAATGAGGGATAAAATATTAAAAGAGGCCTTTCTTTTTCTCCCACCAACTTCATGGGTATGATTGGTGGGAACATGAGATAGAACCTTCCTTGTGTCTGACCCTAGATTTTAGAACTCTCTCCCTATGAGGCTAAAAGGGCACCCTTCCTATCCTTCTGTCAAAGACTTTTTAAAAATTGAGAAGGCTTTTACAACAGAAGGCTTTTAAGAAAAGGGCTATAAGAGAGTGCTGAACTATCTTAAATTGTACTGTATAAACCAGGGGTATGCA